ATTTGTAATTTATTTTTCAAATTTAAAATATTGAAATGTGTGCCAATATATGGCAAAATTTTGTAAGGTTTCTTTAAAATTTTAATTTATAGTAATGTTCTTAATCAGTCTTAAAATAATTTGATGACTATAACGATCCCTTGTATTTTTATAATGATATAAACATAAATATGTTTCGCATGTTTCCGCTTTTTTGCGTTGTAATTTTTTTTGTTATTAATTGTCATTATATTAGTCGTAATAATATACTTTATAAAAATGTATTAAGGTCGAGTCCACACTATGCGTATTTTTAGAATCCGTAAAATACCGGGAAGAGTTGTGTGTTCACCAGTGAGGGCTTGTGACCAATATTTTGGGGGTTCACAATGACAGAATATAGATCTCAGAACATATGTAGGAAAAAACTTTCATTGTTTAGAAAGGTATATTAAAACCTTTTCAAAGAACTTAAAGTTTTGTACTTACATCTGTACTGAGATCTATATTCTGTAATTGTAAACCTCCAATTTTTTAGTCAAGAGCCGTCACTGGTGTTCACGTTCACATTATGAGTTCAAATTGTGCAGATTTTGTGCGTATTTATTTTTTGGTGATCGTCAGTTTCTATAGATCATAGTGTGAATGCTCGCTGAGGAAATAACTTGTCTTCCATCCACTTCTCGGAATCCCGGTAGACAGATCTCGGCACGTGCATGCGTAGGTGCAAATTTTCGGCAGCATGCCACGTGGCTGCCTATTTCACGCATATATGTGAACATTCCAATTTAAAACAATATGTTCTCGCCTTGCCGAAAATACATAGTGGATCCTTATCAGTGGCGGCTTGTAACCAAAGTATTGGAGTTCACAATGACAGAATATAGGTCACACTGGAAGTTTTTTTACCTACAAATGTACTGAGACCTGTATTCTGTCATTGTAGATACCCAATATTTTGGTCTCGAGCTACCACTGATAAGAAATTTCGTATACGCAGAGAGAAAAGTTTCAGTATTTTGATCAAATTAAAACAAAAAATTAAATATTATTTCTATCGAAAACTTTTCACAAAATAAATTGCATATTTCTGTATTTCCAGAATATTAAGAACTGCATATCGCGCTATTGCACAACATATCGCGCGGCTGTGAATCTATTTTTAACGCCTTCCTTTAGAATTCAAGTATATGTCTGTGCGAGTCGCATATCGTATATCGTATATCGTTTACGATATACACCGTTTATCTTATATAGGTATCCTTAGAGTAAAAGGCGCCTAATAAATACATTTTTATTGTAAACTATGTATAATTTTGTTGTATTTAACCTAATTTATGCAATGTGGGCTGTTATCCATCCAAAATGATACCCATAATCAAAATAATCAATAAAATTATTTTTGCCCCACTGTGCGGCGGTTGTAAAGCTTCCTGGGTCAAAGCCTATTCAGGAGATCCGCAAATGCCTTAACTAAGAGAGATTTGACAACGTTAGATCGCGATAATTTAACTAACAATAATAAGTACAAAAATAAATGCTCTCAGCTAGAGGGCGAGACGAGAACGGCAATTTCATATAGAAAAAAAAACAAATTATATAGAAAGGCCCAACTTGGTTAATAATTGGAAATACTGAAAAACTATTCGGTTTACTAACTTCGTATCACTACTTCGGTGAAAAGCTTCGGAGGAACTACAAGACCATGGTCAAGAAGTGAGTTTAGTACATAACAAATGCCTAGAATGTTTTGAAAAATTGAAACATATACAGGGTGTTCCATTTAAAATAAGAAAGTTGGTATTGGTCACTGTTATATGACACACCCTGTATAAAAAGTTTTAAAAAATGCGCAGTTAAATATATCATTCAATGTGACCGAGCGTTTGTCCGAACACGCCCCCATTTATTTATTACCGAATTTATTCCATTTGGCTGGATAATAATAGTGTGCCACAAGCTCTATAATTAACTTTAAAAGTTCATTTCACCGTATTGTAAGTAATAGTCATTATTTTATTGTTACAAAATATTTTACTTTACATAAATGAGAATCGAAAGAAAAGACAGTAATTTAATGCTAAGAATTTATGAAGAACCCTGACAAAGGTGCTTTATATTCAATTGCAATATATGTCCACCACTAAATTTCTCCAAACTTTGACGCAATAACATAATGACAGCATTCTTCATACATTAAATTACTGTTTTTTCGGTATTCAACTATACTTATTGCATATTATAGGTCTGTATGATTTATTTTAATAAAAACAAATTCTTCCAGCAATACTATGAGAATTTTTGCAGCTTTCACGTTTCATTCTAAGAACTTATTATTCCTGCAATGTGGCCTAGAGTCGTTGGTGCATTCTCGAAAATTGTTATTCTCAACAAACATGTACTGAATTTATCTGAATTATCGATTGGCTTTCGAAACAAACATGTAAAAGTTCGGATGCTATAGGTAACCAATAAACTACATGATTTTTACAGTTGATTGGTGACTGCGAATTACTATTTTTGTCCGCTATTTTTAGAAAATCTCCACTTTTAAAACACGTGATGAAAATACCAGTTGAATTTGTGAAAAATGATACCATTTCATGATGTCGACATTACCTTGATTAAAAAATCATTAGTTACTTTTAATATTTTTCTACGTATAATCAAGTCTACATATTACCAAAATAAAAAAGTAGTTATATAATTTTTGATAAAAATGGGAAAAATCTCTAAATGAGAATAATTTAGCTTCTACTTTAAGGTTTTTAATCAAAATATTACAAGAAACAAGATGTGATTAGTAACAGAGGAACAATTAACAGCCAAAATATTGTCACATTGTAAATAATACATGAACAATTTCTTAGAATACTGAAGACTTTTACGTAAAAATTATTAAAAATTTCGATGCGATAGCTAATTGTATAAAAAAGGCTTACCAAAATATGAGTGGCATGTCACGACGCTTTTGTCAAAAATAAGGGTAGATTAGATATTAGATTCAAAAGGAGTTTGACATTATTTGTCCGTGTCCACCGCGACCTTACAGATCTATTGTGGGACTCCATTTGTTTTAGAGTATGTCGTCTAAGCTTGGACTTGTTTATTAGACTTAGTTTCCTTGACAGTGGCATCCACATGCATGTAGTTACATGTGTCTGGCTTTTCTTCATCTAGTATTAGAAACCTTAATCTAGTTAGGCTTTCACATTAGTGCAGGACGTCAATGGATGTTTCCTTTTCTTATTCACAGAACCCGAATAAATTAAAAAAAAAGAAAAAATTACAAAATATCTTAAAATTTAAAAATCATTTAATTTTGTAAAAGAAGTGAAAACTTACTTTTTAGAAGATGTATTTGATACGCCAAAATTACAAAATATCGCTCTAAAGGGCTCGAATTATCTGCAGCTTGCGCTAGTATCGCTTTTGCTTTTCCTACCATAACTTCGCACTAAGCGAATATAATCAGCATACGTTTCCACATATACATTTTCTCTACTACTTCCCTCAACGAAGTATGTACTTGGAAAATTATAAGTTTTCAATAATGGGTTTGGTACAATCAAAAAAGTTTACTATGTGTTTATTAAAATACAACTGGGAGACAACAGTTCTAAGTTATTTTTCACAGTATTTTAGACCTCAATAACACTTAGTTTCAAAACAGAATTGTTTAACTAGATGTAAGTGGACGTTTGCAATAAATACTTATAAATTACCTTTTACCTATATCAATAAGAAAATATTTATATAAAGACATTTGTTTACTTACTCTATTGGCAAAACATTGAATTTCCAATAAAATGTTTGGTTATTATAGCTAAATAAATCTACAGGTGAAAAGTGATCTGAACACACTTTAGCATCTTTCAGTTTTGAAATCTTCCTCATTTATTTTTAAGTTGTTCAGTTACAATAACGTTGGACAATGTCTCTCGGAAACCTGTAAATGTATATACCATAAAATAACCAGTCTCTCCAATTAAGTATTTTTATATCAAGAAATAAATAAAACCCTGGCACAGTTGTTACGCCCATGGATATCTACATTATTTACATTTCATGAGATTGATTTTGACATAACCTACCTGTGAAAATAGCGAGCATTGTTTTTTGGTGGTTTTGGTCCAAAATGTTCGGAAAACTATGCATCTCTTTACTATTTTGAAACAGGGTTGTCAAATATTTAGTTAAAATATAGTATTCAATGGTTAAACCGATGTATCCTAGTAAACAAAATCTAAAAACAACTAATTTAAACACCGATTATATGCAGAAAAAAATTAAATGAGAAATTTTATGAATATGCTTCAGATTTTTGAAAGAACTGTTAAATATTAAGCTCCATTTTATTTATCTTGAACCTTGAGACATTGGGAACTAATCATTATTATCCTTATATTTTTAACCGAAACAGACACTGTGGCAACCTCTGCTGGTACCATCGTTTGTTGTGCATGCGATTATGGACTTTATTATCATACGACAATTGTTTATTTAAACAATGCGTATCTATTCCAATACATAATCGAATACATTATGTAAGTGTTGGAAGGCATTACTCTAAGAGTCTAACACATCAATATTTAAGTCACCCTTAAAGATTATGGTATTGTACTTCGGGCTGATATCGCTTAATACTTCTTCTAGGCTTGTTAAAAATTGGGTTGATTGGTTTATAAAATGCCCCTACAGCACAAGAAATGCTGTTTGTGACAAAGCTATTCCAAATTTCGACAGTGTCATTGCAAAACCACGTATCTCCTTATTCCTTCTCTTGTTAGGAAATATAAAAAAACCCCTAGTAAAACATTTTGTCGGGTTTTAAAGAGGTTGCATCTTTGCATATTTTATATTAATGCCTAAAAGTATTTTAAATATATTTTTTTATAAAATGTCCAAATTTATTTTTTTAGTGGAGATAAGTGGTATTGCATATTTGATTTGTCAACAAATGGAGGTACGCAGTCGTTAAGTAAATAGACAAAAATTAGTTTTAAATTATTATTTATTGCCAATTTAGTAACAAAATTAAAACTTAAATTCTAAATAAGTACTTATTTTAAAATTGATTATGTGTGTAATTAGTTATAAAATGACCAAAAGTTTAGTTTTTATTTCTTGAAGATGTGTAAATTTTTGGTTCGTAATTGGAAGTTTTCCAGTGAATAATCTTGGAAATTAGACAACTCTTTTTTATGCTTCTTTTTGGACGCTGAGGAAGAGGGGAAGAAATTTGTCGTTAAAATCCATTTTGTACTCTATTTCTCCATTTTCATATTTTAACGCTCGAATATCGTCACTGTAGGGTCATTTGGTTTTCTTCCAGGCCGAATTGATTTACATACCAGGTCTATATTGTAGTTTTTAAAGATACAAAAACTTGGGGACACGACTTCATAAGGGTTAGGATTTATTCTTGCTTTTTCTGTGATCCGCTGAAAGTCATGAGGAATTGATATAGTCTTGTTTTCTAGTTTTTTCTCGAAAGTAGCGTGAACGCTGTCGCATTCCATATTTGTGTGTCCTTTTACCACATATTTTTGTACAATGGTTACATTGTGTGTGGTGGAAAGTGACAACAGTGCATTTGCCATTGTGGAGTTGCGATTCTGGTAGATGCAACCATCAGAAAAGATGATTACAGTTCAAATACTTTTCTTTGTAAGTAATCTACTAGTAAAGATGCAAATGCAAAAGCTTGCAAATCTGTATCAGTCTCGTTGAACCAATAACAAGTGGCATTTTTGGTATTAATATTAAAAACTTCGAAATTGTGACAACATAATTTTGTTTTTCCTTTTTTAAAACCAAGTTCATAACATATACTTTCTTCTGTTCCCGAGTTTGCAGGTTTTCTCAGAATGCTTTAAAAATAGCTTATCTTTCGTTTTTGTTTATTTTCTTACAATTTCTTTTTGTTGATTGGTTATAAACTGCAGACATGCAGGTTGGACTTATAACTCTTGCCTCTCTTTCAACATCTGGAAATGTACATTTTTGTCCCCGCACTAAAATCTCAAAGAAGAATCCTTCAACAGATACCTAGTACGGCTAATATATGATAAAGAAACTGATTATTCACTCTCGAAGGCAACTAAAAAGATGAAAAATTCGTGTAAACACTGTCCTCCAATCAGAATAGCAAATAACAAATGGGCAAGAGACAATCAACAAAAAGCTGATATTTTGGCTGACCACCTACAAAAGACGTTCCAATTAGATGAAAATCAAGACACTCCTAATAAGACCATTCATAATATGGAACAACTTGAAATTAAGCTAGTTACTCCCAACGAAGTTATGAAAGAAATTCAGACAAACATCAACTCACAGAAAGCCGCAGGATATAACCTTATTACTGGAGAAATATTAAAGAAACTACCACGGAAGGCTATTGTTAAATTGACATACCTCATTAATGCAGCATTTCGCCTTAAATATATACCTGATGCGTGGACAATGGCTGAAGTTATCCTAATTCCTAAGCCAGAAAAACCTCTGAATGAAAAATCGTCATATAGACATATATCATTGATACCGATAATATCTAAGTTATTTGACAAACTACTGCTAAAACGACTAAAACAAATAATTGAAAATAAAAATCTGATCATTTCGCACCAATTTGGTTTTAAAAACAAACACTTGACAATAGATCAAGTACACAGGAAAAAGCTTACGAAGAAAAATATATATGCTCAGCTATATTTCTTGACGTAGCCCAAGTTTGAAAAGGTTTGGTACGCTGGCCTAATGCAGAATCTTGAAAAAATGCTCCCTAGACAATATGTCGACATTCTACAATCATATTTACCGGGAAGAATGTTTAGAGTAAAGCAAGACGAGGCATACTCTGAAATGAAAGAAATTAATGCAGGTGTCCCACAAAGCAATGTTCTAGGACCGGTTCGTTACTTATTATACACCAGCGATATCCCTCAACAACAATCTGTTAAAATACCATTTGCGGATAATACTGCAATATTGGCAGTTGGCGGAACTAATACAGAGACCTCAAAAAAAACTTCAGGAAACCTGCAACAGAATCAATCGATGGACAAAAAAGTGGAAAATAAAAATAAATCAAGCTAAATCAGTGCATGTTGATTTTACTCTTCGACCAAATGAACAAAAACAAATAAGAATAAACAGTGACGTTATTCCGCATCACGATTCGGCCAAATACCTAGGGATGAACCTAGATGTAAGATTTAAATGGAAAGAGCACATAAAAAAAGCGTAAAGAACGAACTTAAATTCAAAAAAATGTATTGGCTCCTAGGAAGAAAATACAAATTGTCAGTTGTTAGAAGCTTGTGATGAGTGTAATATTGCTCCTAATAGTTGTATCTCGACTAGTTCTAAAATTTAATTTATACTAACGTCGGAGAGAGGGTCGTGGAATGACAATAATAAGCGGGTATTTCAGGAAACTGTGGTGGTTTAATTTCGGTCACAATGAATTTACAAGAACTACCGAAGCAATTAGTGATACATTAAATATTAAGCATTGCAGAGTTAAAATTCATGCACAATATTATTATTCCAATTGGTACCAATCGTTTACAGACTTTATAAATGATATATTTACACATGCATCTATTTAAGATGTAACGGTTGGAACCGTTTTCGTTATTTTGACGCAAAAATCTCTACCCTAATGTCCTTTGTTGTTTATGCCTTGTGTCAAAAGTTGATAATTCATTTCGATTTATATCTGTCATCGAGCAAGTTGATTTATTGAATTTTAATTATCTTTTATCTTACGACATCCGATGTACTAATTTTCCTTAATATTTTTAATGACCGTCTGATTTTTAAAAGCCTGGCTGTATCTAGATGGTTTTTTAGAAGTTATATCGAAAGAGTTTGTTTAGAAGTTTAGAAGAACGTTCTAGCTGCATGTTTAGAAGTATAGAAACCTAGAAGTTTAGTTCCAGCTACAGAAGTTGATTTCAAGTATATCAAGAGGTTCAGTTCGAATCATCTAAGAAGTTTATGAGATTTAAGTTTACCTAGAAGATTTATACTTGAAGAGTTGGTGATATCCGAAGTATCTTATATGAATTCTCTAGAAGAAGGCCTCTACAGTCACTCCTAAAATACTACCTGTTATACCACAGATAAGTCTTTAATAAATCATTTAAATTTGAATAAGTAAGTCTCTGTGAATTAGAATTTGTCGCTGCCTTATCTGAAACCTTCACCACTAATCGATTGTCAAGTTTAAAAAGTTTTAAATATAGTGGTGCTCAACATTCTTTTTCAAAGTAATACGAGTTGTTTAATAACCTGACCCACTGCTCAACCATCATAAGAGCTTAAAACACTATAAAAATAGATAAAATAACAAGATCATATTACTAAGAATAGCAGCCTTTTACTGTTGGTTAATTATACAAAATAAAATATTAGCATAACATGCAAAGTGTTCGGAGCATAATAGTGGTACTTCGTTGGTAAATAAGAAAAGCCTAAAGCCTCATAAGTTAGGTAACCGAAGAGTGAAGAATGAAGAGCGAAGAGAGTATAAGCAGTACTAAGTTAAATAAGAACCGTCTTACTTGTATCCCAGTGGTCCATGCAGAATGGTGATGATAGCATATACCCTGAGGTGAATGTACCTCATAGAACCAGTGCAGTAACACCGATTAGGCAAGCAGGTCTATCTTAGATTAATTTAGTCTAATATAAAACAGTGTATAATAAATTTATAGGTAACGAATACCAGCCCAAGATAAGGTGGTCTACAAGAGAGAACAGAAAGTATAAATAAAAGCGTTAGACGAAACAAAATGGATGACAGAAACCGTAGATGACTTACCACGTGGTATTGGTTGGCCTTTAAGAGAATATAAATGGGTAAGAAAATAAATCATCCACAAAATGTGATTTCAGACTTCTGAATATATTTTCTTTCCTTACAGAGATGATTGATTTGCTTTATTGAGTGCAAAAATCTGAAATAGAGGACGAAATAGCACATGCCACAAGTTGCAAACCCAAAAGCAGAATGACCAGAAGCTTGAAGGACAACCAGGCTGACCACTGGTCAGTGATGGTATCCCTGTCATTATAAATATGTGCCACTACTTAAACAGACCTTAACTAAATATAAGAATTAGTAGGTGATCTAAACATGCTTATCAGTAGAGGCCTAACCGAAGAAAGGTATGAGAAGAAGAAGTAATAGAAAAAAATAGAAATAAGTGATTTGGAATATAAACAAATAAAATAATGGACTTTTATATTAATTATTTAATTGGTTGCTATTGTGTTTTATCATAAATGAGAAGTAAGTGATGCATTTTTAATTATCGCTTCTAATAATCATCATGAAGGTAGTAAATTATAATAGCAAACTACCCAGATAGCACACGATGTCCATTGGACGTCCATATTTTGTCCAAATAATGTCCTGGATGTCCATGAACTTCATATGGATATTCATTGGACATCCGTTTTCCGTTATCCAATGGATATACTCATTCAGAAGTCCAATGGATGTCCAAAATATGTCCATGATGGACAATATAAAAATGACTAACTAATAATAAATTATTATAATTCTTCTTGTATAATTTAATTATTTACTACTAGGTTTTAATTAAAATAAATCAAATAATTTTCCCCTCCACTCGCCTTTGTTGACAAGATAGAAAAGTAAAAGGCCACTCAGGCCAGACTCGAAGAAGAAAAGAAGAAAGAGGTTAAGAAGAAAACACAGCACATGGTAAGAAAATAAGTATAATTATTAATTAAATATCATTTAAAAATCTAAAAATTAAAAAGGAAATCGTTTGTTTTAAACTAATAAAACCTATCAATTATGTTTTAAACTTTATGTTTTCGATTTACATTCAAACAATCCCTTTCTTTTAGACATTTTGTCAAATGATGTACCTACCTATTTAAGAAAATGGCTTTACTAAAAGCTAACTAATATGCTGCAAATTCGAGATGATGTCAACACAATTATTATTGTAACTAAGAGGTGAGAAAACTTTCAAAGTAGAAGAAAAGTTTCTATTTGTACTGCATGAGACGTTAGCAGAAGTAGAAGGCTATTTAGAAGATACAAATATTTTTAAAGAAGCTGTAAGTTTTACTTTTATTAAATAAAATAGAATCGTTTTGTAACGTTTAAGAAATAATGCATTGAAAGATGTTTCATAAGTTATTTCTCTTTTATGTTTACAAATACATATTTTTATTGCAATTTTAGATTCAGCAGTTACCAAAACCAGGGACAAGGACATGACAAACATATAAAAAGATGGTTCGTTTCCATATTTTCTAAAACCCTCACGAAAGAATTCACATAATATGATGGCATGAAAGTAAAATGGTAATTTAAAGAAACAATGAGCAGTTTTTTGTTTATATGTAAGTATAGGGGTAAAGTACATTAGTCAATGCATATTTTCATATTAGCTAATAATATTTTATCTAAAAATTTTACATTTTTAACTATCACTTTTGCCTGATCAGGCGTTTATTAAACGATTGATTTAAGACTCAATATTCGTATAAAATGTAATGTCTTTTTTTAGCTGCTGCTGAGAGTGACAATGGTGCTGCTTAAAAAGTAAGCGAAATAGCCTTAAGAAAATGGCTGAGAAGGTCAACAGAGAGGAGTGCGTATAATACTAATACATGCTTGATATTATTTATGACAATAAAAATAAGTCTATAGTTGCAATTATTTTATATCATATTAATATAGGTGGTGATGTCCGTCAGATGTCCATAAATTGTCCGAAAGCAATACAAAAAGAGTCCATATATGGACCTTTCATGGAGTCCAAATGGACGTCCAGGAGTGGGACATTTGTATAGTCCAGTGGATGTCCATTGGATGTCCTTTGGTAAAATGCTGGACGTCCTTTGGACAGCCGATATGTCCATGAATGGACTTCCGATAGACATCCAATGGATTGATTTGTGCTGTCTGG